AAAGATCAACTGGCTGAACTGGGACACAGAATTAACCAGTTTGACCACAGCGCAGGTGAAGGCTCCCCCATGCCCCCCATGAGTACTAGTGCCAAGAAACAGAAAGGCCCACAAGCAAAACTCGAGGACTTGCAGCCACTACTTGGAACGTCGTTGCAGCGCAGCAAAGCTGTTGGAGTGACATCGTTGTACGATCGCAAGACGCAGATCCCTTCTTCAGCAGCGCTGTGAGAAATGCACAGATGCTGTATGTGTGACTGATGCTATTGACACAGCATCCTGAGTTCATAATTACAGCTTTAAATATGCCCGTGAAGTTTTGAAAGACCAGCCCCGACTGTTGTGAAACAGGTGTGTAACCCACAGCACAGATCTTCTAACACACCCTCCAAACAGGGTGTAGCTGGAGAAGCCTGCAGTCAAAGCAGATCCCAGGTTGAACTGTGTGGTGTTGGGATTCAGGATTCCCAGAAACGGGAGTGTGTCCTGATGAACGTGTGACTGCTGTGTGAAAGCATCCCCAGAAATCAGGCGTCCTTTAAAGTACAGGGCAGACTGTTCGACTTACTATTTGCAGTTTTACTGTTTACCATTTTAAAATGTGCACTTCTCACTGACTCTATAAAAAACACCATTTGAAGCTTGACTGTTGGGATGTTGCCTTCAGCATGCAAATCAACAACAAGCGCTTACTTTTTCAAGAAGAACTAAAAAGATGTGAGCACATAAAACGGTGTCAGGAAAGGCAGCAGAAAGAGTTTTACGTGACACGTTAAAGAGGCGTTCGACTGGAGGATCAAGGCTCAGACGTATGAGAGTGAAAAACAGGGTGACAGCTTCTTTGCAGCTGGCAGGAAAGACATCATATTATTGAACAGAGACATGAAAATAGTAAAAGATGGAAGACGTTGTAGTGTCTTTGTCTGTGTCAGAAAGTTCTCGTCCATCTGTCTCTTGTTCAGCTCTCTTTGTCTCTTCACTGCAGGGTCATGAGCCGCTTTATCTTCTGCTGCGTCTTCTCCTTTCTCATTTACATCCTCCTCCTCTCCCATATCTCCACCTTCCTTCACTCGCATACCTGCCACGCCTCCATTTTCATCCTTGTCTCCACTAGAGCTGCCACAAACGATTATTTTGATAGTCGACTAGTCACCGATTATTTTTG